AATGCCACGGCACTCTGCCCAGGGGTCAGCTTGAGGCTCTGTCTCAAAAAAAAAAAAAAAAAGAATTTCTTTTTTTTTTTGCAGTTTTTGGCCAGGGCTGGGTTTGAATCTGCCAATTGTGGCTAATGGAGCCGGTGCTCTACCCCTTTGAGCCACAGGCGCCGCCCTTGAGTTCAGAATTTCAAGACCAGCTTGAGCAAGAGAGAGACCCCTGTCTCTATTAAAAATAGAATAAAATTAGCCAAGCATTGTGGCGAGCACACAGCCGAGTTCCAGCTACTCAGGAGGCTGAGGCAAGGACTTTTGAGGCCAAGTTTGAGGTTTCTGTGAACTATGACATCGCGGCACTCTACCCAAAGCGACAGAGTAAGATTGTCTCTAAATAAAAAAACAAATAAGCAGGGTGGTGCCTGTGACTCAAAGGAGTAGGGTGCCAGCCCCATATGCTGGAGGTGGTGGGTTCAAACCCAGCCCTGGCCCCAAACTGCATAAACAAATAAATAAATAAGCACTTGAATATTTTCTTTGCCCAGGTTCCCCCAAATGTTAACATTTTACAATATTTGCTGTATCATTCTGTCTCTAGCTATCTAATCTCTTTCTCTCTCTATATCCTATGTTTTTCTAACCAGTTGAGACTAAGTTGTACACATTCTGCCCCATTACTACTGTTAGGACCGAAAGTGACGCCACTGAGAGACTACCACACACACATGGAAAAACCAAGGAGTGTTTTATTCTTTTTGGGCATGTGCTCGGGTCACTCCTGCTAACAGCGTGGTCACGAGGGAGTGGCCCTGAAACAATGGCCAGGGAAGTTTTTATACATTTCTTTGCAAGGTACCATGGGTTGCAATAAAATGCTAGGGAAGGTAGCTGGGGAAGAAGTTTGTATGTGGTTATCTATTGGTCATTGGGGAGGCCTGGGGATTCCGACAGGTCAACTGGCCTTCCGTGGTTGGGGTCTTCCCTGGAGTGAGTAATGTGTGAACCCCTGATTGGTTGTTGCCATTTGGGCTGTTTACCTGATTTACGGCTTGTGCCTGCTGTGGAATTTCCTGCGGTTCCCACCTCCCTTCCCTCCTTCCCTTCCTTAATTCTTTGTTCCCTTATTTTATTTTATTTTATTTTATTTTATTTTTTGAGACAGAGCCTCAAGCTGTCCCCCTGGGTAGAGTGCCATGGCATTACAGCTCACAGCAACCTCCAACTCCTGGGCTCAAGCGAGTCTCTTGCCTCCGCCTCCCAAGTAGCTGGGACCACAGGCGCCCGCCACAACGCCCGGCTATTTTTTGGTTGCAGCCATCATTGTTGATTGGTAGGTCCGGGCTGGGGATTCGAACCCGCCACCTTAGGTGTACGTGGCTGGCGCCTTAGCTGGTTGAGCTATAGGCGCCGAGCCTGTTCCCTTTTTTTAAATCTACAAAATGGAGTCACTGCTGTCTCTTTACTACTGGACTTACTAGTATGCATTTCCTAAAGACAGTGGCATTCTCCTGTGCAACCACAGTATCTCTGTTCAAATCAGGACATTACCATTGATAAGGAACTGCCATCTGGCTCTGGTCCTGCTGAGCATTTTTGTGGTGGGAGGAAGGGAGAGTCCAGACCTAGTCCAGGATCATGCGTTACACTTGGTTGTCCTATCTCTCTACTCTCTTTCCATCTGAAAGATTTCCTTAATCTTCCTTTTCTTTGTGTCAACGTTTTTAAAGAGTACAGGCCAGTTGTTTTGTAGAATGTTCCTCATTGCAGGTGTATCTAAAGTTTCCTTATGAAAAGATTCAAGTGGGTGGCACCTGTGGCTCAAGGAGTAGGGCGCCAGCCCCATATACCAGAGGTGGTGGGTTCAAACCCAGCCCTGGCCAAAAACGGCAACAACAACAAAAAAGCAGTGACGGTATCTTTAAAAAAAAAAAAAAAAGATTCAGGTTGTGTGTCTCTGGGAAGGGATACCGTCCATCTCAGTGTATTGCATAGTAGGCACATGAATCAGGGTGCATCACACTGGGGCTGAGCCAGCAAGCAAAAAAGCCAGTCCTTACATTTCAGCCTGTTGCGAAACTGTTGGCAGTCTGAAAATTGGTCCCTGTGGGAAGTTTTACACCACAAAAATCAGTACCGTTACATATCAGCATCCCCTCCAGTCAGCTGTTAAACGTTTTCCAGCATACCACTATATACAATACCAATTTGTCTTAAAATGACAAAGCAATCATTACCTTTGAAGGTGATGTCTGCGGGATTTGCCAAGGTCAATTTCCCACTTCCTCTTTGTGATTAACATATGTCTGAGGAACTTTAGGTAGAAATCCTATTCCCCAGGCTCGACGCCTGTGGCTCAAATGGCTAAGGCGCCAGCCACGTACACCCTAGGTGGAGGGTTTGAATCCAGCCCAGGCCGCCAAACAACAATGACAACTGCAACCAAAAAATAGTGGGGCGT